ATATATATATATATATATATATATATATATATATATATATATACACATGTGTGTGTGTGTGTGTGTGTGCGTGTGTGTGTGTTGTGTGTGTGTGTGTGTGTGTGTGTGTGTGTTGTGTGTGGTGTGTGTGTGCGTGTGTGTGTGTGTGTGTGTATATATAATATATATAATATATATATATATATATATATATATATATATATATATATATATGTATATGAATATATATATATATATATATGAATATATATATATATATATATATATATATATATATATATATATATAATCAGCACAGCAGCATCGATATCATCAAAATCATCATCATCATCGTCCTTATCAGCCCATATCAGTCCACTGCAGAACGCAAGCCTCACCCAATTGTTCCTGTCTTGCGTTTTTTGTTTCCAGTCTTGGCTCCAAATTTCGTTAAATCATCACGCCAGCTTGTCATTGGTTTGGCCCTTGGCCTTCTTGTTTTATCTGTATCCCAGTCTGTTACTTCTTTTGTCTATCTGTCGCCCTGTCTCCTGTATATATGACCTGCCCATTGCCATTTCTTCCTTTTTAACGCTTCCAAGTATATCTTTCAATTTGACCTTAATCCATGTCGCCCTCATCCGATCTCTTAGGCTAACTCCCAGCATCGACCTTTTCCATCCCTCTCTGGGCACTTACCAGTTTCCTCTCCACTAATTTGGTCGTAGTCCATGGTTCTGATCCATAGGTCATGACTGGGGGACGCATAGGTTAAAGGCCTTTTTTAAATTATAATGACAAGGAACATCTTAGTATGCTACTGCGTCTGCCTAAGATGGACCAACCTAGACTGATGCGTCGCTTTATTTCCTCTCCACGGATGCGTTGTCTGTATGACTTATCCTAGACATAATATTTTCATCCACTACCTCTACCACTTGTCCTTGTACATTATCTATTCAAGATGAACGCTACTGTTGGACATAAACTTTGTTCATCTTGAGTCCAACTTTTAGACTTTTTGTATTGAGATCGTTTATCAAATGCTGCAATTCATTTGCTGATTCGATAAAGAGAAACAATATCGTCTGCAAATCTTAGATTATTTATCTGTTTCTGTATGGAGGTTGATGGTTGCTGTACTATCTTCGTATATATCTTCTAAAATTTTACAATGAACTTCCTCTACTCCTTGTCCTCGAATAGCCTCTAAAACTGCTGGTATTTGTACAGTCAAAATTCTTTTCGAAATCGATTAATGCCATATGCAGGGGCCTCTTGTAGTTATTTATTTTCTCTTTTATTTCGGTGAGCGTGTGGATGTGGTCTGTTGTTGAGAGTCCACTGAGAAGCCTGCCTGTTCTCTATGCTGGTTAGGACCTAGGGTGTCTGAGATGCAAGTTGTTATGACTTTTGTGAAAAGTTTGTAAATAACTGAAAGAAGGCTTATGGGTCAGTAGTTTTTAGATCCCTTCTATCCCTTTTTATGTATCAAAATATTTTTTTCAGGCTTCGAAGTTTTTATCATTGGTGAGGCAATGGTTGGAAAGGTTGGCTAGTTTCAGTGTTGAAATTTCTCCTGCATCCATAATTAGATCTACACTGATTCTGTCTTCTGGCGTTTTCCTTCTCTTCGTGTCCTTAAGCGCTATTTTATTTCGTCTGTTGTGATGTATGGTACATTTCTAATTATTGCTTAAGCAGCCTCATTCACGAGAGTTTTGCCCGTGACTGTGCATATGTGTGCGAGGCGAGCAGAGTAACACACGTGTATTAAGGCAGAAAACATGCAGTAAAAAGCAAGTCTGTAATAACACATCGTTTTTATCAATGAAACAGAATTCTGTCGCGTCCGGGTTTTTGTTGTCATTGTTTTCTTTGTTCGTAATACGCCGTCTTCATTGTCCTTGACTGTGTGTCTTCGTTTTGTTCATAAAGTTTTCTTTATGGATATATATAACGTCTGAATTCTATTATACTAAAAAAAAGTTATATGTGCGTCTGTGTGAGTGTGTTTGTGTGTGCGTTTATGTGTATGTGTGTGTCTGTGTGAGCGCCTTTGCGTTTGCGTGTGTGCGTGTGTGCGTGTTTAATAAACATACATAATTGACAACGTCACCCCATTCACACCAGGAAATCCCTCGGACCACTTTTGTTAATGAATGGTTATTTTTTCGCTGTTACTTCCCATCATTTTTTTTTCTAACAGTTAATTAAACCGACACCATTTCTATTTCCCATATTTCTTTTTCCGTCTTTCCTTACCGCCCCAAATACATTCTCTCTATCTATCTATCTATCTACCTATCTCTCCCATTCCCTCTCCTTCCCCTTCCCTCTTTCCTATCTCTCTCTCTCTTTCTATATTTCTCTCTATTTCTCTCTATTTATCTATCTATCTTTCTCTTTCGTTCCCTCTCTCCTTCCCCCCTCCCCTTGTTCTCTCTCCCTCCCCCCTTGTTCTCTCTCCCTCCCCCCTCCCCCTTGTTCTCTCTCCCACCCCCCTCCCTCCCTCTCTTTC